ATTTACAAAAAAAATATACCAAATGATAGGTAAAGACATCAAACATCTATATAAAAAAAAATTATATTGATATGTTTATTTTTGAAAAAGTTATGGCAGTTTTTAGTAATAAAAATTGAAAAAATTAAAAAAATTAGCGATTTTTAAATTTGTAATTTTTTTGGAGGTTTCCCCCATTTACGTGGAACGAGGGAATTTTTTTCAATTTTTGAGGGTAATGTCTTCGACTAGATACGATTTGTGATCTTTTGACGTATCGTTGAAAGAAATCCGTTCGGTGAGAGCTGAGAAAAAGTGGTAACAGACACAAAAAAAAAAAAAAAAAAAAAAAAAAAAAAAAAAAAAAAAAAAAAAAAAAAAAAAAAAAAAAATAATAAAAAAAAACACATCTTAGTAAAACCAATACCTTCTCAGCTTCGCATCGAAGCTAAAAAGTATATAATTGTATACCTGTTTAATGGACATATAGCTGTGGAAAATAATAACTATTTATTTCTAGGTGCCTTTAGAAGATTTACATTGGGCATCACAACAACTAATGGAAGCACTGCATATTCGTGAACGTTATATGCGAGTATCTCATCAATCATTTCCAACAATCACTTCTAAGTTTTTTCATAAAAAAATACACAATGAAAATCTATTAAATACTGGAGTTACGTCCGATTCTAAAAATGATGAAGAAAATTTTGCATCCTCTTCAGCAGATGACAATAATTTTCATAATGAAAACAAGCATTATGAACCATATCCTAGTGCTCGAATTATCAAACATGATGATCGACAGTCAATTGCTGGTAAGTTTCTTCAAATAATTGTTCTACTAAGTCTTAAAATGTTTAGTTTTTATGTAGATTATACCCAAAGTTGATTGATAATAGAAAAGAGTATTTTGTACTTTTAATGTAAAAGCATTAAGTGAATATATATTAAAAAGTTATGTTTTAGTCATTTGTTGAACAAAGACGTAAATATTAATTTATTTCATGCGATGTAACTAGTTAACGAAAAAATACTCGCAATCTTATGAAGTAATTTAAAATATACTGAATAACGATGATTTCAAGATTTGTTCTTAAAGTAGAGTAAAATGTTTAATGATTGAATAAAACTATAGTAAGTTATCTTATTAATTTGATTAAATTAGTTGTTGCTTTTTCCATTCGTACTTAGATAAATTAGAACTAGAAGTTAACTCAGAACCTATAATTATAACCTTTACAATATACAATATTTGATAAATTAAACATAAATGTGTCATTACCTGTTATACGTTTATAAATGAAATGTTTCAATAAGCTTTTTTTCTTAAAATATACCCAGTTCTTTATTAAAGTACAAAAATTCTTCATCAATACTTTTCATTAGTACTTATGTCAAATGAATATCAAGTAATGCTAATACTTCGTTCTTTTCTGGTAAATGGGGCAATTATATAAAATTTTATTGTGTCGTATGTATTAACATGATTGAAATTGACATCCTGTAGCGGAGAAACCAGTTGTAACTAATACATTAGATCTACAACGGCGGTCTTCAACTCATCGGAGACCGTCCACAAAATCTTCATATAATCCATGGGCCGATCGTCGAAGTTCAACCATGGACGACGCGTTCACCGATCAGCTATTGTTTGACATTGCTTCTGGTGAATACGGTGCGTGGTATCAAGTTCCCTATATCTGCATTGTAACATAAGTTTATAAACAATAATGCTCAAAGCTTTAACACCTTGATTTCAAGTTTTTATTAATTATAATTATGAGTATTGAGTATGTAGATAATTAATAACTATACTCCTCTTTTTCTTCCTTTTCCTTGCTTTAATCCCAACTACTTGGGGTCGGTCATCCTTATCCTAAACTTTCACTTGACACAATCTCCCACATCATCTACGCTCACATCAGCCGTCCTTATATCGCATTCAATAACATCCCACCATCTTTTTTTGATCTTTCTCTTCCTCTTCTTCCTTCAACATTCATTTCTAAGTTATAATTAACTATACTCCATTTTCTTAATTGTTATTTTTGTCGTCACTTATCCCTCATTTACCATACACCTACTAATATTAATTTTTAAATTAATTTTATATTTAATGTTTCAAATATTTAACGAATTCATAACAATTTTGAATTTATATATTGTAGTTTATAATACAGATTTGGTAATTAGTTAAGTATTTTGAATTTATGGAGTATTTTTTTTTGATTCTTCAGAAAACTGTACAATATATGTTTCTAAAATTTTATATTTTTTTAACTACGTATTGGCTAAAATTATATCAAATCAGTTGATTTATTGAATCAAAAAAATAACTCTAATTTAGAATATCTTACGTATATCAATTTTATCATAATAGCAGTTATAATCAAGACTTAAAGTTGAAAAATGCGAGAAAATTTAGTCCCTTTATTATTCATTTTGTTCAAAAAACAACTCTTGTATGATTTCGATAAACGTTAATCATATCCGGTAGTCGATTAACAAAAATAACTTGTAAATAAATTTTCAGAAACTTATTTTCCTAATGACAATTATGAAGTGTGTGTACTTTATTTTTATAGAGTTCAATATGGAGCTCTTTAATTGGTTTAGTGATCATAGTCTCTCTGTATTTTTTTACTACTTTAAATAGTAGTTAAGTCCTAATTATTATATAATTTAACTAATTTTTTAAGTAAATAATGCTAAAAATAAATTTAATTTAATCAAAAACAATTAATTATTTAACTCTTAAATCAACATAATTTGATAGTTCTATTAAAGTATTTTAATCTAATTTTTGTCATTTTTTTTAATTAAATTCTACTATATTTAAAAATACCGAAATAGAAAAATTTTGCATAAAAATTATTTTTTACAAGTCATAGCACATTTTTGATAATATTTTTCATATGCTATTTAGTGGAAGTACTAGTTTGTACATATTGTAGAAAGTAGTTTAAGAAGGTTTTAGGGAGATCTCGAATCCATTTTGAATTACTCTTAGTGCGTCACAGCCTCCATTAAAATATAGTTCTGGTCATAGAACTATTTTTTGTTATTAAATTAGGGAGATAAAACGTTAGTAATGTGCTCTTTTTAGTTGAACTATTTTTAGTTATTTCCAAAATAGATAAACTTAAATTAATCAAAACAAAATAAATAAGTTACATTTTGGACTAAATAATGATGTATAAAATTTCTATGAATTATTTATTGAATATAAAATAATTTTTTTATTTCAATTAGAACTAGTTCGTATGTCTGTTGACATTTTTTCTCGTTATCGATAAATCATTGATCCAAAAGTTAAATATTTAAAACTTTCTGTAAAAAGAAAACTCAGCAAATTGGGATATGTATAAATGATATCTGACAGTGATTGATATTATAAAAGTGGAACGTTCCGAATCTATAAAATCTTTTATTGAAATAATGAATTTTAGAGTTAAAAATTAAGAATAAATTTTATTAAAAATAAAATTAAATAACATATAGAAAAAATAGGATCAGGAGGTTTTTTCATCGTAAAAAATACTTTTAAAAATCTTTAATTTAATATAGGTTTTGGATTGTTAGACATCCTGGAACATTTTAAAAATTGAAAACAAAGTAATTTTATTAAAGATTAATCAATAAGAAGGAAATTCAATAAACTTAAAAATATACGGTTCTTAACTGGCGAAGAGTTTCATAGAAAACCCGTATATCTCTGTGCCACCAAATCTATTGAATAAATGCAAACAATTAAAAATTTATTTTATAGAAGATTATTTATTTTCCATACTGTGAAATGATAACTTGTTTTTAATATAATAAATATTAGCAATTCAATTATTATATTATAATATGTTTGACCTAAAATGTTTAAAGAATTTATTTATTTAATAAAAAAACTAAGAAAATCAATACTATCAAAATAATTATAATTCATTGGTTTGCTAATTTTACCGAAATACATATGATTAACACGAATTTTAATATACATGCATGATAATTTAATATCAATGTTATAAATATCTTAAATATTTTGTCAACTAGCTGAAGATAGACATATTACTTTGTTTAACTTTACAATGCTTGATTTGGAATTTGCAAAGAAGGAGGAATTTCCTTATAATTTTGTTTTATTATTCCGTTTCTAAAGTAAAGCTTCTGACGAAATAGAATCAGAGTAGTTAACGAAGAAGCTTTATTCTTAGTAAAAAGTTTTTTATTGTTTAGCTGAGATTTTTTAAAAAAATATTCAGTTCGGAAACTGTTTCTTGTAGATTCTCTTGTACTGAGTGTTCAATATGTAAGGAAAAATATTTCCATTATTTATAATAATTAATATGTTTTCTTATTTATTGAACATTTTGTATATAAGTTTGCGTGATGTGATAGTAAAGTGGTGTACTTTGGTTGCTCTTGGTCAGTATAGTTTTATTGAATTGGATTACCAATGGTATTTAAGAGAGAATATGCCAATTTTTTTAGGATTTAAAAGAGTATTTTAATGGTTAATCATGTAAAATTTTCAATCTGCGTTTGCATGATAGTTTTTTAAGAGTAAATGCCTTTCAAGTACTTTATAACCACCATAAAATATAATCTGGTACAAACTTATGCTATTCCTTAACATGAATTATTGCACAAGCCTATGACCTTTAAAATTAATTTTCATTATATTAAGTAAATCGTTGTTGAAAAGAAAATGGCTAAATAATTTTTCAATATTAAAAAATAGTCTATGGACTTAGAGATATCTTTTTATTTTACTATACAAACTAATCTTTTAAACCCTAATCTATAAATTTTTTTCCCAACGTAAATTTTTCACTCTTACCTTATAATATTACATTTAGATAATGATTGGTTATAATGACGTAGCAAAAAAATTTTTTAGGCTGAGAGTTCAAAAATAAATTTTGTTTGTTGCTTAAAATTTGTCTTAAAGTATAACTTCCAGTGAAAAATTAGGCCGTTGTATGAGTTTTTGGGAGAAATGTAGACGACTCATCAACTTTTCAATGGTAACATCATTAATTAATTAAAATAATTAATTATTTAAAGAAGTATAATTCAAAAATAATTTTAAATAATTATTTGTTTTAATAAATATTTTAAGCTGTTGTTATTGCTATTATATGTATGTGTTAATAATTTTTTTAAATTTAATAATATACAATACGCGTGCTTTTTTTATTTGCACGGCTCTAACAATAACTTTAAGAATATTTTTATTTAATACAATAATTGTAAATTATAAACAGACAGACCTGTAAAAGATAACTTTGAATATATATTTTAAACACTGATACAGCATTAAAAATATTTTTATATTTTTACCTGTTTATTATTTGTACTCAGATACAGATACTTCTAAAAGAATTTGGAATAATTTCAAAAAATAAATAATTATAATGATAATAATAAAACAAAAATAAAATATCCAAATTTTTTTTTATAACTTATTCTGAATTAATAGTAATATATTAACAATTTAAAGCACGGAATGGAGGTGTAGAGTAGGTGATGTTATTTTTATCACTAGTCATTTCTGGGTCGTACTCTTTTCCCACATAGGTACGAAAATGAGAAAAACTTCCGAAGTACTGGTCTAAGACTTATCGACCAGTAATTATCTAAATTAGGTCATTTTTTATTTTATAAGCTAGTATAATATGCATGTTTCTATTTAAAAATATATAGTATACCTCTATGGAATGTATGGGATGGACTTAAAAATTATTTTAAAACGGATAAATTATTATTATTATATATATAACTCAAAAATATCCATTATGGTCACTGGCGTATGCAGGGGGGGTTCAACCCCCCCAAAAATTTATAAGCTAAGCGACAATTTTGGACCATAAACAATAAGTAAATACAATAAAAAAGATCATGTCATACTATAAATATTTCCACAATAAAGTAGTCGAAAACAAGAATTTTTGTAAGCGAATAATATGGGCAGTGTCACATCTAATTTTCTTTAAATTTCAAAAAAACCCCCCAAATTTAATTTCTGTGTACGCCACTGATTATGAGGTATTTGAATTTAGGTTTTACTCTTCTTATAAAAATTCTCATAAAAATATCGACAATTTAGATTGACTGGGAGTTTAACTACTAAGAAAATTGATTAACATATAGTGTGTAATCAGAGAGTAATTTTTATTTTCGATATCCTGAATAGTGAGAAAAAGTAAGTTATTGCCTTATTTGTTGAGCATATATATAACTAACAAAAATAAACATTTTTTTTTTTAAATGTTAATATTTTAAGAGAAATTGACTGGCTAGTGTTAAAAGAATCTCTATATATAGAACGTTTTTTTTAAAGCTTACAAATTATGTTGAATTGCAAATATTTTTTATAAATAGTAATTTCAGTATCATTGGGCTCAATCAATATTTTCACTACTCTAAATTTATATAAAAATAAATATAATTAAAATCAAAATTTGAAAGGAACTAAATCCCTTTTGGCGGCCCCTCGATTTACACCTATGTTCGGTACTTTACCAATATATTATAAAAATATAACTAGTATATTTATAAGTAACTTATAAGTCTCAATAGTTCATTTTGACGATTAAAATATTTATTATATTGCAGTATTTTAATAAAAAGTTGTTTATATACAAACCATTAACTGGGTAACATATTGTAAGCCAATATCTAAAAATAACACTTTTCTAGTTGAAAAAAATTTGAAACAATACAAATAAATTATGAATATTAGAATAGTTCTTAAAAGTATAATTTTTAAATATAATTATTTTGCTAAAGTATTTTAAGTACTCCTTAAAATATAATAAAAAAAAATATTAAACATACAGTATTAAACTATAAATAATACCTTCTCAGCTTTGAATCGAAGCTAAAAAGTATCTGAATACATCTACTCAAGTACTTTACAGGTCTGATTGTAAATTGTAATTAAATCGAATTTTTCACTCACTACTTTATATTTCATTTGATGAATATTCTAATATGAAAAAATAATGAATACTTTAAGTGAAGTTTAATACTTCAAAATTTTTTATTTATAGATCATCCAGTTCACCCACCTGCCAGTGTTGGCGATCCATGGCAATGCGATTTTCCACCATCTTTAGGATACACTATACGCCCACAAGATGGAGTATTTCATTTATTTGATAATCCAGACTCAAAAACACCCCTTCAAGGATTTCCATATCCTAATTTGGAAACATTTTGTAAAGACATGGCACGTCTTTGTACAATGATTTCTGATGGGCCTTTGTATGTTTTTAAATATGTTCTTAAATTATAATATGTATAGTAAATCGAAATTGCCTTATTATTAAAGGAAATCGTTTTGTTATCGCCGTCTATCTTACCTATCATCAAAATTTCAACTGCACGTACTCTTGAATGAATTAAGAGAACTTGCTTCTCAGAAAGCCATTCCTCATCGTGATTTCTACAATATAAGAAAAGTAATATTTTCATGATACAATTAAATTAAAAATATATATTAATTTATATTTCAGAATCTAGTTTCAATTTATAAAACAATGTAATTATAATTATGAACTCAAATTCAACAAAATTTTTGCAGGGGTTTAATTATCAAATTTTCTAAAACATTTTTTATATAATAATAAATATAATTTTTTTTTTTTAATTTTGTAGTGGTTTATTTTAAAATTAGAGAAATTTCTTCATCTAAACTAGGTTTTTCATGTCATGTATAAGGTCTACCATATAATTATCTCAGTTTGTCTTTTTAGGGTTCCTATACTTCTTTGTTTTAACTTTGTTCATTTCTAAAGTGTATGAATAGAAAAAATGTCCAAAGCACACTTTCCACCCTTCTTTTTTTTTGAACCAACCCCTTTGAGCAAACTGTAGGATGAATAACTTCTCACCTGTTCATGATTATAAAAGTAGGCTAATTACCTCTATTCAGTATACTTATGTCTTTAGTCAGAAATAGTTTCATTAGTTCCTCACTTGTTTAGTTGTTGTCACTGTTTCTCTGTAAAGTATGGTGAACATTTGAATCCATACCTAGAATGAGTTCTAACTTTTTAATTTTACAATAATTGAGTAGCACTATCAGGTCCCTATCGGAGTATAAGGACTCATATGATATGTATCTTAAGTCTACTATAATATTTTTACCATCACTTATTGTTATCATAATGATTGTTAAGTCTGTGTTTGAAAATTAAGTAACAACCTGGTTTTTATTTTATTATTTATTTGAATTAAGATGATGTATATAATTTTTTATAAAAAGTTATACAAGAAAAAGCAGATATGCATTTGAAAAATATTAATAACATTAGTACCAAACATATTTATCAACAAATTTTAATTTCAAATCTACTTATATATTTTAACTATAGGTAGATACACATATTCATGCAGCTTCTTGTATGAATCAAAAACATTTATTACGATTTATTAAAAAAACATTAAAGAATCATGCGGATGAAGTTGTTACTGCTGGAGGTATGACACTAAAACAAGTATTTGAATCAATGAACCTAACATCATACGATTTGACTGTTGACATGTTAGATGTACACGCGGTATGTGTATTTTTCTTTAAAAATTATAAAAATTTTTGAATCACTATTGATTTTAAAGGGAAAAGTTTAATATAAAAATGTTTAAATACCCTTGGTCGAAAAATTATTTGAAAACACACCTCTGGAATAACACAATGGACATATTTAAACTTTTTTTATCTTATAAAATGTTTGAAATAGTATAAAAAAAATATAAATAATACATTTTAATAATTTATACTTTTTTATTATTATTTAGGACCGTAATACATTTCACAGATTTGATAAGTTCAATGCTAAGTATAACCCTATTGGAGAATCTCGTTTACGGGAAGCTTTCCTAAAAACTGATAACCATATAGGTGGAAAATATTTTGCTCGAGTAATTAATGAAGTAGCAGCAGATTTAGAAGAATCTAAATATCAAAATGCTGAATTAAGACTTTCAATATATGGAAAAAGTCGAGATGAATGGGATAAACTTGCAAAATGGGCAATTTCTAATCGTGTTTACTCTGATAATATTCGATGGCTTATTCAGATTCCACGATTGTTGTTAGTATATTTAAATATTTTATGATTTATATTGTTAATTATTTCAATGCTCATTATTGGTTATTTATTAGAATATTGAATTGATTAAATTATTTACTTAACATTTTTAATATAATTATCATTCTTAATATGTATATATTTTTATAGTGATATATTCAAATCCAATAATATACTGGACAACTTTCAACAGTTGCTGGATAATGTATTTTTACCATTATTTGAAGCTACTAATGATCCAAATTCTCATCCTGATTTACACAGGTAACTAAAAACTTATAATGAATGTTAGTATATAAATATACTATATGCTACTATCTACAATGTCACTAAAAGTACTTTTAAAATTCTGTTCCCTCTGTGATAGAAACCAAATTCACTAATATCATATCTGTTATAAAATGTTTATAGTTATTTAAATTGAATAACTGTTTAACAATAATTAAATAAAATGTATAAAGGCATATAAGTATAAAAGTTCTTGAATACTATAATATAATATAATTATAATAATATTATATAATATAACAAAAAAACGCAAGCTCAATGGGGTAATTATCATATTATTAAAATAATTATCATAAGAAACACTTAAGAAAATCTGTGTATAGAGTTTAATTCTAAGAAATTGATGCTTAATTACATAAGCAACATCAACTCCTATTTTCTTCATTATTCTTAATTAGTAGTTCTATGATTTATAAGTATAATATATGAATAAATATCTATTATAGTAATTCAACATACAGTAGAACCTCATTAATCCGGACTAATAAGGGCTCTAGGTTGTCCGATTTAATGAAAGTCCGGATTAAACAAAATAACCAAAAAACATGTCCGTATTATAAATTTAAGAATATTATATTATACTAAATACTATATATGATTTAATATATATATATATTGCAACATGATATAGATCCAGCAAAAACATTACATATTTAATGTGGATAGAATTATGTATATATATATATATATATATATATAATAATGACCAAAATATAAATTACTAATACATAGATTATAATAACTTTAATGACGGTAGATAAGAATATATGTACTTATGGGAAATTCGAGGAACTTGCCTTTATGTTTATTTTAGTCTACGGCATAAACTGTGTATTTTTCGTAATATTAGACAGCTGTCTGGATTAAGCGAAGTCCGGTCTAATGAGGTCCGGATTAATGAGATTCTACTGTAGTATGAATTTGATGTTTAATAATTTAGTATTGTAATTTTTACAGAGAAATTATAAAAAAATTATTAAGTACTTTAATGGAAAACACATTTAAAAATTGAATGGCTTGATACAAAACTTTTCATTTATTGTTAATTATGAATAAATGTTCTATAATTAATTTTCATCAGAGTCAAAAATACCCATACTCTAAATCAAATTCCACGCCAATTTCAAATCTGCAATTGGATTATTTTCATGACCACTAATTTTTGATATTATTAATAATTAGTTAAAAACGAGTGTTATCATATAAAAAACGGTAGCACAGTGGGGTCATGGTACAGTATGGACGTGGCATAGTTGGGACAAGTATAGATGATATCTGACAGTGATTAAAATCACTGTCATAAGAATCGCTTTGATGCAAATCTATAGATAATGTTTAATTCTAAAAAATTGGTGAATAATTACAAAATTAACATCAACTCCTATTTCCTTAATTATATTCAAATTTTTAATCCTTAGATTCAAAAATATTATATATAATTTTTAATTATATATTATATAATTTTTATAATTAATTGTTTTCAAATTATTATTGATTTTCATTTCATTTCAAATTAACTTTAAGTGTTCAAAAAGATTCTACAGTTAAAATATCCAGGAATTAATTAATTTTACTGATTTACTTTAACTAAAAGAAGAAATAAAAAAGTTGTTAGAAAAATCTACTCAATTGAGTGTATTATTGTAAAATTTTATTACAATAGTAAAAATCTGTTGTTAAATTCAAGTGAAACTAAAAATTATTTTTTTTTAGAAATGATTTATATACCAATATGTTACCAAAAAAATTGAAATATTATGGACTGGTAGTAGCACACACATAGAGTAAAAAATTAATAAATTACAGAGTAAAATTATTTACTTTTGTAGTTGAATACTTTTATCATATCAAATCTAATTCAACAATAAATACTTAAAAATATTAGAAATTAATGATTTTAATTGTTTGTATGGAGAAAGCTGGTTTACGGGAATGATAGAAATTTTTTCAATTTTTAAGGGTAATGTTTTCAACTAGATACAATTTGTGATCTTTTGACGTACCATTGAGAAAAATCGGTTCAGTGAGAGCTGAGAAAATAAATAATAATCCCAAAAAAAAACACATTGTAAATTAATTTTAATCTGAATAAGAAATTTCCTCTAACTAGGATAGACTACAATATTTTTTTTGTGCTTATTACTTTTTATTTAGGTAAAAAACCAATCTTTTAAGAGGAGGTTCATTCCTCTTGAGACTTGTATAATTATGTCCTTGATAAAACAAAAAATAGTTTTAAAAATATATCTGAATTAACCCATATCACAATAAAAATTGCATATTGTTTAAGTCATTCTTTAAAAACACTTTTTTTTTTAAGTTTTCTTTTGTATGTTAGAGCTAAAAAGTTTATTTCATCATATAGTTGAAATAATATTAATTTTTAAATTTAATAGATTTTTACAACATGTGATTGGATTTGATAGTGTGGATGATGAATCAAAACCAGAAAATCCATTTGTTGATAGAGATGTACTCAAACCAGAACAGTGGCAAGATACTACTGACAACCCACCTTATGCATATTATCAATACTATATGTATGCCAATATGACAGTCTTAAATCATCTCAGAGTGTAAGTTAAACTTATCAAGTAATTATCTTTATTTTTAAATATTCTTATTAAATTATTAAATTATTTATTAAATTATTTATTAAATTATCCTATTACAATTATTTAATAATTTAAATAATATGTTTTTCAAGAAATAATATATATTAAAAATACTCACTCAAAACAAAATTATTATCTTTCCAGCAAACAAAATTTAAACACATTTGTGTTGAGACCACATTGTGGAGAAGCAGGAGCAGTTCAACATTTAGTTTGCGGTTTTATGATGGCTGAAAACATATCTCATGGGTTATTATTAAGAAAAGTACCCGTGCTACAATATCTTTATTATGTTGCCCAAATAGGTATAGCTATGTCTCCATTATCAAATAATTCTTTATTTTTGAACTATCATCGAAATCCATTACCAGAGTATTTAGCTCGAGGACTAGTTGTTAGTCTTTCAACTGATGATCCTCTACAATTCCATTTTACTAAGGTAAATAAAAACTGTTAACAAAATTTTGTTTCTAAGTGTAATTAAAGTAATAATTATCTTTGTAAAAAATAATTAATGCTTATTTTGTTAGTAGTACCTAAATTAATATATTCATGTATTCTTGTTCGATATTATCAAATTATTTACTTTTTTTAATATCAAATTTTACTTTAAAGAAAATTGTGTAATATATTATTATTATAAAATCAATTCTAGTTTAATAGTTAGTGACAAAAAATGTTATTATTTAAATACAATAATCACTCATCAGACTCTCAATAGTTACATTAAATTAAAAGTCACTAGATTTTTTAGTTTTAAAATCAATTTTTAGATGAGAGAATGATAGAACTACCACTAGTACAATTTTCAATATTGAGTTACGTTTTTTCCTAAATTCTTTTATTTTATTACTTTATAATTTCCTAAAGAAACATAAAATATCTCATATCAAGTAACTGGTGTAAGTTTGATATACTGAATGTTATCCTAAAATATTTGACTTACTAAATTTAAATCAAATGTTACACTTGGTAGATTTCCATCTAATAATAGTTGACAGGTCTACATAATATAAAAAAATGCAATTATGTAAAAATTAACTTTAATCTAGATCAGTGGTTCAATTACAGGGACAATACAAATTTCTGCAGCACTCCAAGCTCCACTGAAATAGGTTAATGTGTATAATATATTTTAATTTAATTTCTATTTTTGAATTTAAAACTGTAGGAACCTTTAATGGAAGAATACTCAATAGCAGCACAAGTATGGAAGTTGTCTTCTTGTGATATGAGTGAACTAGCTAGAAATTCTGTTTTAATGTCTGGTTTTCCTCATAGGGTTAGTAATATTTATGAAAATGTATGTAATATAATAATAATATTTTGGTTAATAACCTTAGATTTCAAAAAAACTTTGAAAACTTTTATTAAAACTATAAAAAAAAAAAAAGTAATGTTATTTCTTGTATTTAGATTAAACAATATTGGCTTGGACCAAACTATACTAAAGAAGGTGTAGCTGGTAATGACATATCTAGAACTAATGTACCAGATATTAGAGTTGCATATCGAAATGAAACTTTATTAGGTGAATTAGCAGTTATTTTCGGCACAAACCCATTGGAATCAATATCATAAACTGCAGCGAATAAAGTTATTAGTGGAACATCTTATTAAATATTATTCCAAATATTTATTTTAAGAAAAATACCATATTTATACCATTAATTTTAAGAATTGTAACCAATTTAACTATTATTATTTTTTACCTTATTATAACTGTTATTATTGTTTTATGTTGACAGAATATTCTATAAATAAACGAGAGACTATGATTAGCACACAAGTTTTTATAAAATATAAGATTTAAAACTTATTTTTACTATATTTTTTAAAAATAAATTGTTATTATCTTAGCAGTGTACTACAAGAGATGCAACCATGGGATAATTAGTGGGTGTTATTTTTTCGCAAAAATATTAGCAATGTTTAATATTTTAGTCACGATAATCTGAAATTGTTTGCTTATTCAAATATTTTTGAACAAAAATGCAAAATAAACAATTTTTGTATTTTTTTAGCAAAAAAAAGATAATAACCCCTCGGATTTATTTTCTGATTGTGGCATTGTGCAATACTATTGTTCTGTTTTTATTTCCAGTTAAGTTTTTCGTTAAATTCATTTTCCACGATGAATTTATTTTCCTTGAAATATTGGGAGATTTATATTAATATCTCTTAATATATTACATTTTATGACTTATCACATAACATGTAATAACAGACTATAATTTTTCAGTATTTTTATTTCAATTATTATTTATTAAATATTTCCCCAACTTAAAAATCCCAAATTATGATAATGATATATTGGAAATGACTATTAATACACAAATATAGTAGTTAACTTCAAGATAGCTTAATATAGTGATAATACTGTATACAGTAATTAAAATTGTATATTTATGAATTCGAATTATTACCCAGATCATATATAATAAAATGGGTAATTTATATATAATTTCGTAAATGAGTTTTATTTAACACTGTCACTTGGTTATTTACTGTACGTGTTGGTTTGCATTAAATTATTGTAGGTAGTAGATTTTTTTAAAAGTATTTTATTAAACATTTTTGTTGTTATTTTTAAATTATTAAAGAAATTCAATAATTTAAAAATAAGTAAAACTTAGCAAAATATTAGTTATGTTTCAATTTGATCAAGGTAATGATCGTTTTATACCAGATCGGCAATCTTGTTTGTTACATTCAGCAAGTTACTATCTCGATCAAGAATGGATATCATCTGAATATGATGATTTTTTTTATGAAACGGTTTGTCATATAGTACAATAATAAATGTGACATTCAGGCTAGTTTTCCTAAAAATAAGGTGTATGATATAATGAATTTTTTATAAGTAGGATAACTAACATAGCTACGCATTCTAAAACACTTTTTAGTTTTATAATTATGTATACAAATATTAAAAAAATATTTCTCTTATTTAAATAATAATAACAAATTTAGAATCAAACCTTTAATATATGTTTACTACAAAAATCAAAAGAAAATTTCAAAACACTAATACTCTAAATTTGGAAAAATAATGTATTCAAACAAATTATCTATTTTTGATGTTCAAAAATAAAAAATTTGATATTTAAAATTTTAAAATCAAAAGGTATATCTGACTATGTTATATAACTGTTGGGAGAAGAAAAGCAAAAGCAGTTTTTTGTCAAATGCTTAAAAATAAAAATAAAATAAATGTATGTATTTGATTCTTATTTTCACATTATTATTATTACCTTAATGATCTATTACCATAGATCTTTCTAGGATCTTATTAGCAATTTTCATTAATATATTAAATGTTATCAATTCTACAATGAATTATAACCAAAAATAACTTTCCTTTTTTTGCTAAATTTTAATGTAAAAAATTAATATTTTTAATTTTGAATGTATACAATACAAAACAAATTAATTAATAGGGTTAGTGATAACACTATTTTCAAAATAATTTTGCTTTTATTAAATTATGTATTTCAGCCTTATGAATATGAGTGTCAACGGGAAAGACAACGTCAAGCATTCAAACAACTTCAATCAATTATTTCATTAGCAAACAATGGTGGGTATCTATTCCCAGCATATTATTCAAAATACAAACATAACAAAAATAGTTATAATAATGATAGTAATAATCAAGAAGAACACATGACATGGCCTATACGCATGGTGAAGTACAAAAAAATAAAACGACAAAAAAATAACATAACTATACCCGCTGCTGATCAAATGTTAGATATGCCAAATTTATCTGATGATTGGAGTCAGTTGATTTTATTAATACAAAGAAATTCATATAATAGTATGTTTCTTTTTTGTTTGTAGTGAACAAAATTTTAGATTGGAGTGCAACAGGATATTTAACTGCTGCAATTCAATCCACTATATATTTGTGGTCTTCAAAAACTCAGCGTATTCAGTATAAAATAAATGCTGATACTGGATTATTTCATTCAGAAATTAATGTAAATTGCTTAAAATGGGATAAAAAAGGTTTAAAGTTAGCTTATTCTATTTGTGTCAATGAAGAATTAAGTGTTTACTCTGACTTAAGTATGAATAGTTCATTTGTGCTTAATAATACATTAAATAGCACAAATGTTACTGAAGATCGTTTTGAAAATTTTGATAACGTACCTTATGAAGATGTTGATCATAGTTTAATAAATAATGATGGGTCTCCATCTCTTAATTACAGTACTGTGTTTAATGAAGAAAGATTTGATCCAATAACCAATGAAAGCATGAGTAGTTATACTTTGGAACAAAATGATTTGGTTAATCATGAGACGTCACTGAATTTTGGGAAAAAAACCAATTGTATTAAGGTATTTATAAATTATAATAAGCAACTAATAAAATATTTAATATACACAGGGTAAATAAACATTAAAATTTATTAATATGTATGTGTGTACACATTTATATATCAGACACTTTAAAAAAAAGCAATGGAAAACGCACATTTAAAATTGTTTGAAAAATTGTGGAGTAGTAAAATGTATTTGTTCCAAAAATGTTACTAAACATATATCAAATAAATTTATGTAAAATAATTCTTTTTTTTTTTATTAAGCTTACCTAATTGATTTAATCAAAACTATTAAATGCTATAAATATTTAAAAAATTAATACAGTAATTGTACTCAAACATTTTATTCGAAATAAAATATTTGTTATTAATTTATTCTATATAATTTATACTAGTCACATATTTACATATTTTCAGGGATCTAAAAGAAAATGTTTTCATAATTTTATAATATTATTTTTGTTTCCTCAAAATTGAGAAAAATTTTTTATTTTAAATTTTTTTCTCAAAAAATTTAATAATTATATGAATTATGGGGCTCATACTCCTTGAAATTCGCATCTATGAATATAATCCTGTAGTCCACTTAAATTTTTTTTTAATTTTTCAGAAAAATATTGAATTAAAAAGTAAATTAGGATTATTTTATCTGTTCTAATAATTAATTTGTATTAATAATTATTACTAAATATTTTAAACCTAGGTTTGGATATTAAATGAAGATATTAATGCTGAACAATTACAAGACCTAACAAATTTTTGTGGTTGTATTCATTATATTAAAAATTGGAATAATAGCTGTAATATCATAACCATGGAGTGGTTGGCTGATGGGCATATTTTGATTACGTAAGACTTCTTTAAAAAAAGGAATACTTGTGAAATAAAATTGAAATTACCTGTATAAATGTGTACAGATTATTCATTTTGGTATAAGTGAGTGTTGGAATTATTATATACAGAGAGATTATTTAAGGATAAAACACTCATTTCCTTAGAAAACGATTAAAATTTTATAACTTTGTTAAGGAAAATATTGTTTAATTTAAAAACCTAACAATAATATGTAGTTAAATAAATAGTTTTTCTTGCGTTAAAAAATAAAAACACTTAACTTTAATTTTCTTTAATGGAAATCTCTATTAGCTTTCATTAATGTGTAGTTGAGAAACTATAGATTTTACTTTGCTGTGTTTCTTTTTTGTTTTGTATGTTTAGTTTGCCATTATCCATAGTTGAAACTATCAGAGCCATAATTTTAAGGACTTCCTCTCATTTCCGTTAATTAATTAAAATGTTCCAAAAATTAACAATTTTCATGAAGTAAAACATCAATAAAAATAACATATTTAACATTCACAGTCATATTTGTAATATAACAGTCAATTTTGATATTTTAAATTTATACTTTATATTGAAATAACTTTTTGAAAACTGGACGGACTATTGTGAAATTTTTATTGATAATACTTCAAACATTTGCCTTGATGTAAACAGCTTTTTTTGAAAATTCAATCATTAACTGTGGGGACTTGAAATTGTATCAACAACCTTTTATTTTAAGTTTTTTATATTATTCCAAAAACCTATTTTCTTAAAACTCACATACAATTCAAGATAATACAATGTAATATAAAATGAAAAAAATTAAAATATCCAAAATCTCTATTTTTAAAAATAAGCTATTCAAAATTTTTAGTTAAATTCTAAAATAAAAATTTGCTTGAGCATTTAAAATATATATTTTATTTTTATAAGAGACAAAAATCCTTTGATAGTGAAAAAGAAAAAAAGTTTTTAAAGATGGTAAAAGAAAGAATGGTGAGGAATATTGAGGAAGGTATAATTGATGTGTGGAATAGATTTGCAAGTTGTGTAAATAATACTAAAAGAAGATTATTGGTGAGAGTAGGAGTAGAATGCCAAAAAATAAGGAAATCTGGTGATGGGATGAGGACGTTCAATTATAGAGAGAAGGAAAAAGCGAGAAGATTGGATAGAATATATAAATGTTTGCGCTAAGAAGCCAAGTGTGTAGTGAGGCAAAGTTAAAGAGGTATGATAAGTCTATAACTTGCAAGAATAAGAGAAAAATAATCTAAAGATTATAACAATGTAAGGTGTATAAAAAGTAATAACAAGAGAAAGCTAATGTGAGATGATGATCTGAATAATGGTGTAAAAAGTATTTTGAAAAATTACTGAATGAAGAGTATCCAAAAGAGACATTAGAAGATAGTAAGAGGTATGGAAAGCTGTGGCATCAGTAAAAAGAATAAAGCAGTAAGACCAGATAAAGTGCCAGTATAAATATGGAAAATATTTTATGCTATGTTAGCATAAGGCGATTAAAAAATCTTTTAAATAAACTTCTATTAGAAGGGATAATGCCAGAAGAATGAAGGAATAGTGTTGTGGTGCCGATATTTAAAGATAAAGGAGACATATAAGTTTGGAAATTATAGAGGCATAAAGCTATAAAGCTTATGAGTCATAATATGAAAATTTGGGAAAAGATAATAGATAAAAGAATAAGAAATGAGACATCGGTCTAAAAAATAATTAACAAAAAAATAAGAGGAGAAACATTAATAATTAAGAACCAGTTTGGTTTTTCGCCTGGAAAGTCAACATTGAAGTTAGTTTTTGTGTAAGACAACTAATAAAAAAGTATAGGGAAAAGAAGAAAAAGCTGTGTATAGTATTTATAGATTTGGAGAAAATGTATGATAGAGTACCAAGAGAGGCTTTAAAGTGGGTGTTAATGAGAAAAGGAGTCCCAAAAAGATACATTAATATAGTAGAGTATATGTATGATGGGTAAGAGTAGAAGTGCACCAAGGTTTTGTTTTAAGCCGTTACTTATTTTCTATAGTGATGAATGAAATTACTAGAGAAATACAAGGAGAAGTGCTGTGGTGCATGTTGTACGCTAATGATATTGTTTTAATAGGAGAAAATAGGGAAACAATTAATCAAAAGCCAGAGTTGTGAAGATCAGCTCTTGAAAAAAAGGGATTAAGAATAAGTAGAAGTAAGACAGAGTATATAGAGTACAAGTTTGACACGAGGTAGGTGAAATGAGGAGATCAGGGATAATAAGTGAGTATGTGTTAGGAGAGGTGAAAAATTTTAAATATTTAGGATCAGTTGTGCAAAAGAAAGGTGTGATTGAGGAGTATATAAGACACAGGATAAAGTACGGGTGGTTAAAGTGGAAAGTGGCGTCTAGTGTGTTATGTGATAAAAGAATTCCAATTAGGCTGAAAAGTAAGTTTAATAAGACTGTAGTGAGACCAGTTATGATGTATGATTCAGAATTTTTGGTAGTTGATAAGAAAGTAGAGCAGAGATGAGAATTTTTAAAAGGATATGTGAAGTGACTTAAGAAGATAGGATAAGAAACGAACATATAAGAGGGAATATAGGTGTAACGTCAATCGTAGATAAGATGAGAGTAAATAGACTTAGATGGTTTGGTCATGTTATGAGGAGAGAGGAATCGAAAGCTGTAAGAACAGTTTTAGTAATGAATGATGAAGAGGTAGAGGGATGTTATTGAATGAGTTATGAGGACAGCTGATATGGGATAATGTGAAGTGGAAATTTAAGATAAGGGTGACCGACCCCAAGTAGTTGGGATTAAGGCGAGGAGAAGTCAAGTTTAGACATTAAAAATCTTAGCAAAGTTTTAATTTTCTATTACAAATAATCTTCTAATTTTATATAGAGGCTGTTCAAAGGCTACAATAACATTTTATCGATATAATAATGAATCACACAAATTGAATCTAATTCGTGTAATACACAGTTACAAAAAATTTCAACTCATAAGCAGTATGCATTTATCACAAGATTCAGGCAGTCGACATTTAGCTGTAGCTTATCATTGCAAATATCAATGTAAATTAAAATTATGGTGTGTTGAAAAAATACCAAAACAATATCATGTGAATAAAAAAGTCATAGGTCAAAAAATATTTACTGATCGTCACTATAATTTAAATTTATCTGAAGTTTTAACTGATATTTATAATAGTAAAGAAGAAAATAAAGGAAGTTGGATAATTAAAGTATGTTTGAAAACATTTTAACTATACTATTATTAAATTATAATTAAAGAAATAATGTATATAGTTAGGATTACATAAATGTACCTAAACTACTGTGGTGTAATTACAGGGAATTTGAGTGTCATATCCCCCATATAATAAAAATTATGTGATATAAATAAAGTTTTGTTTGGATAGGTAGTAAAAATATTTTTTAAGTATCTTCTATTTTTATGAAACACTTGTTATACTAGTGCTGTAATATTATAATATTGCTTACATAAATCAGAAGTGAATGCATGAATTTCANGAGGTAGTAAAAATATTTTTATGAAACACTTGTTATACTAGTGCTGTAATATTATAATATTGCTTACATAAATCAGAAGTGAATGCATGAATTTCAGAAATCTATGTCTGATCTATTCTACCAAACTATAAAGATTATTTTGTCCTCTCCTAGTATATACATTAGGGTGACCCTTAGCTACATGAGATGTTTTTTTTTTTTTAATATTTGTTAGTGCCACCCCCTAGAATTATTCGAATACATGAAAAAATAAATTGTACAAAATTTGGAGACGATTGGTCAACTCTATGACGTGCCCCAAGGGGGTTAAAAATAACCTCCCAAGGGTGATTTTTTAGTTTTTTATGTCTATCTCAAAAACTTCAGCTTTTGCGAAAAAGTTTATTCGATCTTTTTTGTAGGTATACAATTTTTCTATAAAAAGTATATTTACAAAAATTTTCGAAAAGTTCTTATTTAGCCCTAAAAAAATAAAAACGTATATGTTTTATTCTTACCGTTAAAACTGTTAATTTATAAATCGTTCATTATAAAAACATAAAAAAAATTCATTTAACCGTTGTTTTAAATTTAATTTTCTATACATTTTTAATTCGACATATTTTCTATTCAAAACCTACAATTTTTTTAAATTTTAATTAAAAAAAATACATCAAAGTAAAATTAATACCGTCTCAGTTTCACATTGAAGCTAAAATAATGTTCACTTACAAATTTATATACAACCAGGAACTATATAAACTTGTAATAAAAATACATAATGAACGAATATTATTTAAATAATTAACTTTTTAATTGACAATTCAAATTGGCCGCGAAACAAAAAAAAATTTCAAACAATAAATGGCCTTAGCCATCCAACGAGCATGATGGATTGGGCCAGGAATTTTAAAATAAATTCTATGTAAAGCTGTTTCACCAAAAAATATTATGACCAATTCTAAAAGTTCCTCGAGGTTGGTATTTTTTAATTGTTTAAAACTAAATTTCAAAATATCGTCTTTTTTTGTTTTTAACTTTTCTAAAATATCAGTATCTTCTATTCCACTTAAGTAATTTGTTTTAATTATTTTTTGCCAAGACTTTTGGAATTTATTAAATTAGGAACATCTGGTTCGGATGACGTATTAAATTTTACTTCAAAAACACTTTTCAATATAATTTCATAAATGTGATGTCTGCATGGTAAGTATAATATATAACGCCCTAACATTTGCATGGAATTTATTTTAAAATTCCTGGCCCAATCCATTATGCTTGTTGGATGGCCAAGGCCATTTATTGTTTGAACATTTTATGTTTCGGGGCCAATTTGAATTGTCAATCAAAGAGTTAAATATTCGTTCATTATGTATTTTTATTACAAGTTTATATATTAAACAATGGTTTAGTGCACCAATGCTGCATTAGCGCCAAATTTAGATTTACAATTTATTAAAAATATAATTGATTATGAACCAATAGATAAAGATATTTCTAAAGTAGTTTTAAAAAAAAATTTCGGGTCACTTATGGTAATTAGTATCCGAATGGGCAGCATTGGCTTTTTTTGATGATGATTTATGTGAAGATACTAAAATTAAAATAGTAAACTCATTAAATAATTGGGAAGAAGATCTATGTACAAACAAACGTATAGTAGTAGAAGTAAATAAAATTTATGATTTTAAAAATAAAAGTATAGATGATTTTATTTCAACTGAGTCAAAAAAGTTGTTTGAAAGATATGACATTGAAACAGATTTTTTAAATATCAATCCTTTGTTGTGGAAAGACAACAGTCAATATATATCGGAGAAAAAATAATAGTAAATATNCAGGCTGATTTTTTTATCATAACCCACTCAATTACTTATAGAATAATAATAATAATAATTAAAAATTTTTTTTTTATTACTATCTTTAGTTACACATTATTCTTGAATTATTAACTATGTACTACTTTTTAAGTTCATCCCTTATGTCTGGTAAGGGTGTCAACTTTGTTTTTTTAAATGGTAACACATATTTTTAATTTAATAAAATGTTTGAGTTTTTAATTCAATAGTAAATGGCATTTGAATTTTTAATAAAACTTAATTTGTTTATTAGATATAAACATTTAAAGTTTCAAATTATTGAGTTAATATATAGGTATAATACACAAGGTATTACAATTACAGGTAGCTAATTGGTTTTTTATGATATTTCTATCACAGTCACGGATTGTTTATTATCAATTATGACTATCAATAGATATACTTTTTGTATTGTCAGTTAGTGTATTTATAAACTCACAACAATGTACCTTACTATCATTGATAATAACAATGCTGTGTACCTGCTAATATCGATGTCATAAAAAATCAATTAGCTACCTGNTCGATTTCATAATAAATGATTTGGCAGAGAGGGGCGTGAAATTCATAGAAGAGTATAATAATATTTTAACAAAAGTCGAAGCACAAAAATAATACCTATTATAGATTGTTACAGAATACCGGCTTTGTTTTCCTAATTGCAATAAATACACATTTATTGCCAAGAATTTTAAAAAAGATAAAATATTTAAAATATGTAGTAAATTTTTTTAGTATGTTTTTTCTTTGTAAATAGTTTCTGGTTGTATATAAATTTGTAAGTGAACATTATTTTAGCTTCAATGTGAAACTGAGACGGTATTAATTTTACTTTGATGTATTTTTTTTAATTAAAATTAAAAAAAATTGTAGGTTTTGAATAGTAAATAATAGAAAAAATGCCGAATTAAAAATGTATAGAAAATTCAATTTAAAACAACGGTTAAATGAATTTTTTTTATGTTTTTATAATGAACGATTTATAAATTAACAGTTTTAACGGTAAGAATAAAACATATACGTTTTTATTTTTTTAGGGCTAAATAAGAACTTTTCGAAAATTTTTGTAAATATACTTTTTATAGAAAAATTGTATACCTACAAAAAAGATCGAATAAACTTTTTCGCAAAAGCTGAAGTTTTTGAGATAGACATAAAAAACTAAAAAATCACCCTTGGGAGGTTATTTTTAACCCCCTTGGGGCACGTCATAGAGTTGACCAATCGTCTCCAAATTTTGTACAATTTATTTTTTCATGTATTCGAATAATTCTAGGGGTGGCACTTTGTAGTTTTTAAATTTTATAAATAAGGGACACCCTAATATACATGTAGTAAATTAAAAAAATTAAAACATGAGATGAAATAGAAAATTTTTCCTAAAACTGTAATTTCAGGCTCTTGCTTGGCATCCATGGAAAATTTCTTTAGTGTGTTATGCAGTTACACCAGTAAAGAATTATGAATTAGTTACTAATCCACTGAAATCATGGATCGTTTTGGCCAATGCTTGTCGGGGTCAAGTATTAAGTCGTGTGCAACAAACTAGTTGTTATTCTTGCCCAACTATTAAAATATTATCTGTTGACACACATTGTATGACATTTAGTCGTTTAACTGGAGAACTCTTAGTTTCAGCATCTACAGTGTATTGTCAATCACGTAATTATTTTGTCTAATTAATTTAAAAAAAAATAAAGTTTTTATCTTTTTTTTTTTAATAGATTTTTAGCAATGTTAAAAAAAAGTGAGGATTTTTTTTTAATACTTTTTTTTAGTTACAAATATTAATAATATAACTTAACTATACCAAACCATTTACCTTAATAGTGTACTTTGAATTATTTTACTTAATTCTTGTTAATTATTAATACAGGTAAACATTCTAATATCAACAAAAGTGTTATAATAGTGAAGCATGAAGTTGTTGTTATGCACAGTTTAGTGTGTATAGTTGACACTCTTTATAGCAGTTACTCGGGAAAAGGACTATTCACTGTATGGAGTCCTGATGGTTATCGTTTAGGTATATAATTATTGTTTAAAATTATAACCTTAGTTTATTTTTAAATTGTTGTAGATCAACAATTTTATGTAGATAATATGTAATTATCACATTATTATGTGTTTTTTATATTTTGCATTGCTCTCCCATAATTTAAGGAACAAATCCTAAGGGAATTGCCAACGGCCAGTCCTTAGCTAAGCTAATCTGTATATTAAGTTGGTCCGACCATGACTATAGTCGGTGAATTAATATCAATTACAAATAAGTGTTCTCTTATTGTCTGTTTCCACCAAAAAAAATATTTAAAAAAAAAAAAGCGTGTTACGAATACACGCGGACCTAAAAATAGCAAAATCAAAAACTAAAATTTCCTATCTCCAAAATTGGGATTTTTCTGGTTCCCCCACTTCAAATTTTATTTTAATAAAAAATAAATATCATTACGGTATTTCCCACAAAATTCTCATACAAATTGAGCGGTTATTCGATTTTTTGTAACTTTCGCGCCCTCCCCTGAACTTTGGGTTCAAAGTTGGAAAAAATTTCGCTTTAGTGTGACCCATCAATTTGTATTGAAATTTTCCTAGAAGTCCTGTGATATTTATTTTTAGTTTTAACGATTACATAACGAGAAAAATCGGAAAACCCCACTGATAATGTGATATTTTTTTAATTTCACGAACGGACTGTTAACTTGTGGTATTTTTTTTCTAGATGTACTGCCTTTTAAAATGTGGTAATATTTAAAATATAATTGAATTTAGTTTATAAAAATATTAAATAAAACAGTGGGGTCGCGGCATAGTGGAGACATTG